AAAAAAAAAAAAAAAAAAAAAAAAAAAAGAAGGAAAAAATATGCAAAAGAGAATTAATGAGTAAAGAAATTTGAATTTTTCGATTTTTTTCTCTGATCCATCTCAATTCAGCTTTCTCAATCTTTTTATTTCTTTTTAAGAACTAAAAATAGAATGGATATTGATTTAAAAAAAAAAAGAACAAATTTTTTTCCACTTATTTTCATCGTTAGAGGTTTTTTTCTGTAAATAACTTTAGGAGGAACTGCTAAAGAGGATACGTTATGATGTCGGTTATCTGTGTTTGAATTCCGTTTCTGCTATTTTTCTGCCCCATTTCAGCTTCTTTCCTTTCTTCTTTTCACATTCACTTATTTAGTTATTTATTTATTTATTCAATTTTTTTTTTTTTTGATTTTTGCTTTAGTTCCTTGCCCAAAAAGTTGTTTTAAATGAAAATGAGCATTGATACGATGGCGTTAATCAAAGGTTTCTCACCAACTCCAACAAATCTTATTCAATCTCCTCACCAGAAAAAAAAAAATAAAGGAGAAAGACAAAGAAGCAGTGCTGTTTTCAGCAAAAAAATTTTTCAACGGAATTAAAATTATTTTTCCAACTCGTTTTTGGTGACCCAAATGTATGCTTCTTTTCTTTCTTTTTTTTTTTTTAATCATATAAAGTAGCTTAATGTTTATTGCTACAACGCTGTTGTTTTTTTCCCTTTGTTTATTAAGTACCAAAAAAAAAAAGATTGATTTGTTGCAATGAAACAATTACTTTTCTTTTCCTTGTTTTTTTGCTTTGTTGTTGTTGGAAAATAAAGTAAGACGACATTGGAAACAAATTAGAAAAAAACAAAAGTTTATGTTTAATCTGTGGCCAGTTAAAAGAAGAAAAATAATCAGGGGAATCAAGTTTAATTGCTATCGTTTAGAGTATCTTTCCTTCTCTTTTTTTCATCATTATTTTTTTCAGAAGTTAATGGAACAGATGTGGATTGTCACATGGGTAAACAGCGAAACAAAGGAACAAAACGGAACAGTTTGCGAGACCTGTTTTACAATGTGGTTCCAAAGCTTTAACCAACTGCTCGGTTCAATCCCCTCTCCCCCTGCCACCTGCCTGAACCACCTCCACCCCCGTTTTATTGTCTTTTTCAACGAATAGGTAACCTGAAACTTCATTTATCCACATTTAACATTCCAATCAGTTTTACAATTGTCGTCTTTTCTCTTGTCATAATTGACAGCTATTAATGCAGCACATCAGCTGCTGGTAAAACAAACTTTTTATTGGTGAGACTGGTAGAAAAAAGCTCATTTTTCTCCCCTCCTCTTGCAGTAACAGAAACTAAACACTGTAATATAATAACCATATATATAAATTTTTTTCAAATATAAGCTGTCTAAGTCTTCTTTTTGCTCTATATAAAATCACAACTAAACAAATGCCAAATATCGATTAAAATGTTCAACTGCTTTTTATTTTTTCCAACCAAAAACAGAATTAACCTGCCAAACTCAGCTATTTTAAGAAAAAAAGCAAAATATCATTAGAACAGCCACATGTAGTCATCAGACGCGTAATAAATAAGGCCGTCTACGCCAACGTTTTACGTATGAGCAACTAGCGATGCAAGGATGGTGATAGAATTCTTGAAAATCGTAAGGCAGAAACAAAAAACTTAAGACGAGCTGTATGGTGCTAAAATGCATAATGTCAGAAACCTACGATTGAAAGCGAAAAGTTTATAAACTCGAAGGAAAATGCTCCGAGCCGTAGTCTTCATTCGGTTAGCTCAGTTAACCGGTGAACAACTTTAGAAGGGTTTGCACAGTATTTTTAGAATCTAAACAAAGTAGTTTCAAACTCGTAAGCCTTTTTATCTGCTATATATCAAAAGTTTTTTTGTTTTTATCTTCCAATTTTTTTCAGTACGAACTAAGCTGTCGGTAAACAGCCTAAAAAAGATTTAGTTTTTTGCATTGGTAAAACTAAGAATATGTGCTTGACTAAACGAGGAGTGAAGAAAAAGAAGTTCATTTGGCAGGAGATGATAAGATTTTCATTTATCAAGTGCTAGCGTCTTGAAAAAAATTCGAAACATTAGCTTATTTTGTTAGGTTTTATGGGTAATCCTCGTTTCCTTGTTCAATTAATTTTTTGAAGGAGCCTTTTTCCGATATAAATTGACCGTCAAAACAGTAGCAGCGGCACCTAGAAGAAAGAAAAAAAGAAAGGAAAATAGAGTTGGAGATGTTCTGCTAGTTAGAATGTTAAACGGCAGTTGAGAGTCATAATTTATCAGACAAATCAACACAGTGAATATGAGCACGAGTTTTACATGATTTGGTTGCACAATCACCATGCATATACAGCATATTGTCAATCATATGCATAGTAACAAATTTGTTAAAAGCATGACGTGTAAAGCGTACGTTCAACGGTTTCCATGTTGAACTTTTCCAGTGATATCCCCAGAGTTGACCATCGTTTGCAATGGTATTATGAACATAATGTATATCCCAATCTCGATATAAAACTGAACCAAAAAATAGGTTTGACGAATCGTTGATCAATGTTCCAGTGTTGATATACTGTATCTTTGGCGTAAATGCTTCTTTGTTGGCTGAATAAACTATTTTAGTTTAGTCTGATGAACTTGCCAGGTTTTAAAAAAAAGCAAGAAAAAATATGTTTAAAAAAATGCAGACGACAAAAAGCAAATACAGTTTTTTCATCATTAACACAATTTTGAAGGCTTTTAAATTAAACCATGTTAGAACGGCAAACAGCCAACAACAACAACAACAAGAAAAAAGCTTTGAGCTGTCAACAAGCCAAACCATTACGTCCCTTGCTTTTTGCTCCCGTAACTTCAATCAAATTACTGAATCTTTACCCGCCTTGTTTTTTATTCTTTCCCACTTCTTAAAAAGAATAAAAATGACAAAAACAAAAAAGCAACAAAATCTGGAGTTTAGTCAGTCATATATATCCGACAGATACATGACAGAATCACTCTTCGTTTAGCCTTCCCCCCCCCCTCCTCAAAAAAAAAAAGCTCTTTTTTTTTGTAAGGGAAAACCAAAGATCTTATGTTAAGTCGTATGCAGTTTGATATAATGAAAAACAGTAAATGAATAAATTTGTTGAACAAATACTAACGCGAATCTCCATCAACTGATTTACAAATTTTTCGTATTGGAACAGATAATGAATATGCAATACCCGCACGAAGTACTAAGTGATTTTCTGAAATAGGAAGCCAAAAATAACAATTAATTCTATTCTTTATCTGTTTGCAAATTTATCTGATTAACACTGATTGGTATTAGAGTGAAAACAAGGTAAAACTGTAGTCACTTTTATAACTAATTAAATC